CCTGGTTGCTGAGATGAAAGTGGGTGACAAAATGCACTCGCTTTCCGAACACACACACACACAGACCGCCTCTCGACAATATGCGTTTTTGCTGGCTGTAGTAGCAAAAACGCATAAAAGTTAAGCGGTATTAGCGGTGTGTGCTTGAAGATGTCCCTTTTGCAACAAATTTTGGAATAATCTTTTTTTAAACTTTATCTACAGTATTCCACATTTTCCACAGTGTTTTATTTTAAATAACTTTTTAATGTGTTTCAAAAACGCATTACGACAAGGCTCCATTTGTTGTGTTTGTTCCGATAACTTAGTAAAATAAGTGCGAAGTCTGGGAGGCTAATACCAAGAATATCAAAACCCTTGTAGCTTTCAAACATTTTACTTTCACTGTTTCATAGATTTGTTTATGTACACTTACGATGGGAAAATTTTTTTGTTGGTAACTACGCAAGTGGATATCTAATTTGTTTGCGTGGGAGTGTAGGCATGAGCAAAGAGGTCATACTGTGCTTGCGGACCCACACATAAACAGAAATCGTCCTTGCAAAATTACAGCATGCAACTGTTTGTTTCCCAGTTAACACCAAACCATCTTGGAAATCAGGCCGAGTAGAAATTTGAATTTAGAGCCTCTGAACTATACCTAGGCAGAGAGCAGCCTTGTAGATTTTTGTCTTTCTAGCTTTTTGGTTCCCAAAACCGCCTGCTGGCCAAAATATTTTTTATGCCTCCATGTATGAGAACTAAGATGAACTAAGCACTCATCGCGTTTCGGAACCATCTGTAGTGGTGGATTAGGTCACGCTAATGATCGCGGTTTTTTTTAAAAACGGTCCACAGAAATGAATTTTATCGAAAGGGTATTTTCTGAGCAGTATTTGTATTCCTCTGGATACTGATACGCGGTATTAAGGTGACTGCTTCAGCACAACAATTGGTGCATAGAACAATTAAGAAACCTTAAACAATTCGGGTGCTTTATAAGCAACAGTGCCAAAATTAGAATTGAATGCCTCGTCGTCGGCGATCAAAATGCCATTTTCGCAGCTCATTGCGGTCCTCGAACAACCAAAATCCGCTAGTTTGCATGATTTCCCTTGGGCATCCACAATTATGTTTGCTGGTTTCACATCCAAGTGCAGTAGAAGATGGTTGTGACAGTGCAGTAAACCACTTATTACCTGATTTGTTTTCATTTTTATGCGTTTCTGCTTGAATAAAATGGACACAACATGGAAGCTTGTCATGTAAACATATACGCACACATATACGCACATATGTAAGTGTATATATGCGTATATGAATATGTATGTGTAAATATAAGCATGCATTTATCGGTTTGTGTGCACACAAAAGTTTCCTCGCTAATTTTTAGGCCCATCGTGTGGGACCAAGCAACGCTTTTCTAGAATTCTTACCCATACGATTCAATCCTTTTCCAAATAAAATGATTTGCTTGAGCTGTTCCCAAGAAAATAAAAAATTGCGTTTACCTGTAAACCAAGCAGTAAACGCTCCTCATCACTAGTATTCCAGTTATCATCGTTGATAAGCTGTCGAAGATTTCGCCCTTCGACAAATTCAGTTACAACCTGCAATCAGTCGAAATACTTAAAGATTTGGTAGAACCGTATCTTATAAACAAGACACTGATATCACTATGAATGTGTTTAAAAAGTAGTTTTGCAGGAAAATTCAACTTTTATCGTGCTCTTTTTACGTTAAATATACAAAGAACTTTTACTTCCCGATCAATGATCCGAGCAAATCCATTGCTAACAACTAACCGTGAACTGTTTTAGTAAGCAACAACAGTTCTAGTAAAATGCACTGTAATGGCAAATGCACTAATTTGAACTCTGAAATGCAGTGAGCTACTGCTTTAGGGTAACTTGAGGAGAGACAGGGATACTTCCTTTGATAGCAAAGTCATATCCATGCATAAATATTTTTATATGAATGTACATATTATCTGCCTGTATGTCTAACTCAAAAATTATGACAGTCAAGTCAAAAGTCAAACTCCTCTCCTTCACCCGCATTTCCCTTTCAGTGAAAGGCGGAGGTATTCAGGAAATAGCCCTTGTAGTAGGAAATGCCAGTAGTAATTCGTCCGCTGGCAAAGCTATCGATAGTCTCCTCTCCTGAATGTCGCCTACAAGCAAGCTGGCGGCTGATTTGATCTCCTGCCATAAGCTAATACCAATTTACCATTGAAGCGAATCGTTGAGAGTTAGTAGAGAGGCTATGCCTCTCTAAAAGTGCAAAATCTTCAACGGCCGCACAAGAAATGCCAAAAAAATTGTTTCATTTGTTGATATTAAGTTAACACAGCGGGGAAGTGCAACATCACATTCCTCAGTTGTATTTGCGATAGGATCAAACATCCAGGATGTTTTTATCCGCAAGCGTCACTGGCTCCACATAGCGCTTTGCTATTTATTAGTATATATGCAAATACAAAACTGCAAATTGTGATGACCTCGGTGTGTGTATGCGTGCGTCTGTCCAGGCATTTCAACTGGGGAACCAAGCAAGCTTCGGCGCTGAAATTTTGCCAGCGAGTTTCCTTGCCAAGTGCCACTCCAGAACCGCGGTACCAACCGTCGTGCACGTCTGAACCCCGCATATATGCGCGTGAAAGCTTTTCTTTTTTGAGAGAAAGGGGTGGGGGTCGTTAACTCCGGGACTGAAAAACCAGAAAACTGAAATTTTGAGGGGATGCTCTTCGTCCAGGTAGAACTTAAAGATTCCAAATTCAGCCCCCAGATTTGCACGGCTCTCATTTACGAGCCCGTCAAATTTTTTTTTTTAGAGGGGGGAATGCGAATTCGGAAACTGGAGAAACAGTGAGTCAGAAATTTTGAGGGGATATTTTCGACCCCATGTGGAACATAAAGATTTCAAATTCAGCCATCAGCTATGCGTGGCTCTCACAAGCGAGCTTGTCAAGATATTTGGCGGAAAAACTGCTAACGCAGGAACCTGAGAAGCTGGAAAGCTGAAATTATAAGGGGCTAACGCGGGGACTCTGTCCAAACGCCATTTAGTTGTGCAATTAACTTACTAAATTTCGAGGATCCGTATGCCACGTACACTAGCTACTGGGATTCCAAGTGATAGCAATAAAGCATGAAATATTGCAAAAATGTATAATCGCATGGGCCCCCCTGGTAAGCGTCACAGTGATTTTTACGAGGAAAATTTCATTCCTTAAGTGGAACTTTCATCCCACTACAAAAGTCCATCTATCAAATAGTCTTATTGTCGAGAAAATTTACGTGTTTTTTTAAAATTTTTCAGTTCTTGCAAGAACGACCCTATCAAATTCCGGATGAATTATAAATCCATTTCGCCACGAATCTCGTATGATCTTTCCTTCTCTCGAGAGGTTGCTGGATGTTAGAAAAAAAGGCAACCAACTTGCTAACCTGCATACAAATGCCGGAAGTAAATGCTACAGTTTGAACGACAAATGGTGATGGAGGCAATCGGAAGGCGTTCAGTTCAGAGCAGAATGAATAGAAATCAGAAGACGACGAATGGCGGCTACCATGCATGTGCTTGATCGCTACATCGCGGTTATTATACACATGCCGGAATACAGAACCAAAGCCGCCTTCTCCTGAAAAAAAAAAAAAAAAAACTTCCCGGTTTTTGGGAAAGTGTCAAAAAAAAAGTGTGATTTTCTAAACATACTGCTACTCAACTCGTAACCTAGCATCTGTGCCTGAGATAGAACTGTGTGAAAGGGCTTCATTATCCATTTTCATATCGTTCTCTCTACCAATATTTCAATCCCATGGAAGAAACCTCTCAGCTCAATTCGACGCTTGTCCAAGCAATTCAGCGCCTTTTCAGTTCTGGGTTTGATGCAACTGTCGCTTCTTTAACGCAGTTTCTAACTTGCTTAGTAATAAAAGTAGGCTTTTGCGCGACATCCGGCTTTTTCTCCCTCTTTTGCATGCTCTGAGAGCTTACGCCAAAATTACCAAGACCCTCCAAGCTATTAGTGCCGATTCAGTGATTGACGCTGTTATTGAGTACAAATACACGCGCCGTGCGCAACTCTGAGTACATTTCCAATTGTTCTAGTATCTATTCGATATATGAACGTCTTCCTCTGAATAAACCTATTTAACTGACCAGCTACATCCAAGCAAGATTTGGAAACGGCGCAACATCCTTTCTCTGCAGTACATCTGAGGCTAGAACAACCCGATGCTCATTAATTACAAGCTATAACTGCGAGTGCTACGTGCAAATCTAGCGATCGCTTTCATATCGTAGAGTAGCTATCGTTGCGAGGCACCCCCTTCGTAGACTGGAACAAGACGAAGGGAATCAATTGCTAACTTTATTCCTTGTTCATATCGCTATTTTCTTCCTTTTGTGACAGGAGGTGCAATTTACTAATCATTTCAAAAACAGTGTAACACACCAAGCTTCGAACTGTCTTGCTCGCGTGTTGAGGTAGCTGTCTTCGGCTCATTATAGTGTGGTCGCTTCCTACTTTTCCTGCAATTTTTGCGTAAACACGCTTTGAAAACAACTCAGTTTGTTTTTGTTGACACAATCGTCGTTGTTGTGAGCCCTGAATAGCGTACCATAATGACCAGTACTGCCTAGGGCTCTTTTTTTCTCAGAAAATGCAGCAGGATATTTAAAACATGCTGAAAATGATGCCAATAAATTAAATTTCCTATCGTAAAGATTATTCCTGTCCTGTGGCATCTTGTCTCCTTTTCTGATAAAATTCTCTACTTAAATGGATTTTACGAGAACCCAGGAGAAATAATTCCCTGACAAAGTCATTCTTTTAATTTAATTTTGTCTTTCCTTATGTTTAATTTTACACAGCAGTCAAAATCACTCACATACCAAAGATTTAGAAATTGACTTCGCTTATAGCGAAAAACTGGCAAAAAGAAGCCACCATAAAAAAAGATGTGAACTGCCTATGTGAGGCAGTCAAGAAAAAAGTGTATTCTGACTTGGAAAGCTGATGCGCTGCAGCTATCAATCAGGCTGATTTTATAAGAACCAACAGTGGTGTAGTGGGTAGCACGTCGCGTCCAGAAGGGAAGGGGAAGGATTCGATTTTTCCCGGTCTATAATAATTAAGACAGGCGGCTTCGTTCACAAAACCGCTGTCAAGACATCCAGTTCATCTGCGATTCTAATTTTTTCCTAAGAAACCCTTAAAAAATGGATATCTTCTCACTAGGTGTTTGTTATTAGTAAGTGCTGTCACTCGATTACCTCCGATTGTCGCCGCTTAAACAGAGGCACTTTGATTTTAATTCTACGCGCACTGCTCTCTTGCAGCTGATTTAAAAAGCACAACAAACCGATATAGTCGTTTTCTTTCTGCAAAAACTCGCACCAAACGCAGTGGGCTTAAAATTAGTGCTCGACAACGATCACTCGGCTTGCTCTTCACAGACCGCCTCTAAACAAAAAAAAAACTAGCAACGCGCAACAGACTAGCCGGTGCGATCATGTGTTTTGTGCAATTCAGCCCATCGAACGATTGCCTATTAATGAT